ATGTTTATTGACGTATTCATTTTTGCGTTTTCAAGTGGCAATGCCCTAGCAGTCCTCATGGTCCACCTCCACATCTGACTGATTATTTTCAGTGAAGCCCATTGAAGCAAACATCTGGAATTTAAGTGCCCTCTTAAGAGCAGGCATCCTCCATGATGGCCTCTGAGGTTGTCACATTGTAATTTGTCACAGAGGAGATCCGTGACATCTTCTGTCTTAACAAAGGTCAGTCTGCAGCTGTAAACAAAGAACTGTGACATACACATAACCGACAAGTGAATGGTAGCCTATGTCTGAGAGAGACATCGTTTTTAACATTTCTAAACGTGACGCTGTCCACACAATGAACTCTGAGTTTGAGAGCCTACAAGTAGCCATGTGTCTGCTCTTTTTCATCTCTGTTCAGCCTGTCCTTTGCAGGGGAACTTATCTTTAAGCAGTGAGGATCTTAAAATATGAATTATTCACTGTTCCAGTTTTATATCCCACATGGTCAATGCTTGCGTTGGAAATTGATGTCCTTCATCCTTTGTTGACCCCTGAGAATTTAGATGGAGGTTGCTACAACAGAATAATAATGCTTCAGAATGCTTTTGATGCATTTATTATCAGCTGTTGAAATGTGCTTGTTTTTGGAGCTGGATTTTTAACACCAGGTACTTTCTGATTTTCACCACAGCTTTATTAAAGATGACCAGAACTTCTCTCTAGCATTAGAAGTGATGTTTACCTCTGCACAGGATAACAACTCAGAGATGTAGGAACCATCATTGCTTTCAATATCTAGAAACCTTTTCTTTGGTACCTTGCTGAATATTTAGCAAATAGCATTTTTGTTTTTTTGACAACAGGATTCCTGCACTGTCTTAATGTTTAAAGAAATATGGAATATTAATCATTTTCAAATGTTGGGTAACAATGTTGGGTAAGATATTCATTTGAAAAGATTTTTGACTCTTAGATGAATGAATTACTTTATTTCAGACAATCCAGTAAAATTATAAATTGAACAAAGTATGCAATTATTATTGTATGCAATTATTGATATATAAAATTACATTCTATGTATGATTTAGTGCTTGTATCAAAAAAAGGAATATGAACTGAAACTTATTTAATTATTTAATCATATCTTTTCTCCTTCTAGTCCAGACATCAACAATTTTCCCATTTCCTACTTAACCTGAGTCCATACTCCTCCGGAATTCTATAACGCAAACAAATAAATTAATTTAGGTACACATAAACATATATATGTACATACATACACATACATTTTAACTCATAAAAGTATTACCCATAGCCCACTCGACCTCAGACGTTGCAAAGTCATGCAGACACTTCTGTAAAGTGACCAAGAGTGCTTTAATTTGACAGCTTGTTTCATATTTCCATACCATCTAGTAATTGTTAGTTTTACCATGAGTCTTAGAGTCTGAAAATCTAGATTGTGTTCTTAAGTGAGACAGAGTGATAGAAAGCATACCAAGGAGTCTAATTGACAACCAAAATATAGTTTTCTAATTGGCCTAGTTAAACTCGCCAATCATGCTTAAAACACCTCTGATTTGGCTGATTAAAACAGTTTTGAAAAAAAAAACCGTGCTGTAATTCCTCCCCTGCAATGTAAAGGCTCTTTGTCAATAATCAGTTGGGTTGGGTTGGTTAATCGTTTTCTATTTGAATGTACAGTGGGGCCAAAAAAAAAAGTTAAATCAGCCACTGATTGTAAAAGTTCTCCTACTTAGAATAATGGGAGAGTTCTGTAATTTTCATCATAGGTACACTTCAAATATGAGAAATTAAATGAGAAAAAAAATCAAGGAAATCAAATTTGTACTATTTTTAAAGATTTTTTTGTTGACTATGAAACAGGTAAAATGTGACCTGTAAGTCTTCACCAGGTTTTCACACACTGTAGCTGGTATTTTGGCCCATTCCTCCATGCAGATCTCCTCTAGAGCAGTGATGTTTCGGGGCTGTCGCTGGGCAACACAGACTTTCAACTCCCTCCATAAATTTTCTATTGGGTTGAGGTCTGGAGACTGGTTAGGCCACTCCAGCACCTTGAAATGCTTTTTACAGAGCCACTCCTTCATTGCCCAGGTGGTGTGTTTGGGAGCATTGTCATGCTGTAAGATCCAGCCACGTTTCATCTTTAAGGCTCTCACCGATGGAAGGAGGTTTCGGCTTAAAATCTCACGATACATGGCCCCGTTCATTCTTCCCTCAACGTGGATCAGTTTTCCTATCCCCGTTGCAGAAAAACAGCCCCAAAGCATGATGTTTCCTCCCCCATGTTTCACAGTAGGTATGGTGTTCTTGGGATACAACTCTGCATTCTTCTTCCTCCAAACACGACGAGTTGGGTTTTTACCAAAAAGTTCTACAGGTGCTGGTCATAAAATTAGAATATCATGAAAAAGTAGATTGATTTCAGTAATTCCATTTAAAAAGTGAAACTTGTATATTATATTCATACATTACATACAAACTCATATATTTCAGATGTTTATTTTGTTTAATTTTGATGATTACAAATGACAACAAATGAAAATCTCAAATTCATCATATCAGAAAATTAGAATATTGTGAAAAGGTTCAAAATTGATGGCCCCTGGTGCCACACTCTAATCAGCTAATTAACTCAAACCACCTGCAAAAGCCTTTAAATGGTCTTTCAGTCTAGTTCTATAGGCTACACAATCATGGGGAAGACTGCTGACTTGACAGTTGTCCAAAAGACGACCATCGACACCTTGCACAAGGAGGGCAAGACACAAAAGGTCATCGCTAAAGAGGCTGGCTGTTCACAGAGCTCAGTGTCCAAGCACATTAATAGAGAGGCGAAGGGAAGGAAAAGATGTGGTCGAAAAAAGTGTACAAGCAAGAGAGATAACCGCACCCTGGAGAGGATTGTGAAACAAAACCCATTCAAAAATGTGGGGGAGATTCACAAAGAGTGGACTGCAGCTGGAGTGAGTGCTTCAAGAACCACCACACACAGACGTATGAAAGACATGGGTTTCTGCTGTCGCATTCCTTGTGTCAAGCCACTCTTGAACCACAGACAGCGTCAGAAGCGTCTTGCCTGGGCTAAAGAGAAACAGGACTGGACTGCTGGTGAGTGGTCCAAAGTCATGTTCTCTGATGAAAGTAAATTTTGCATTTCCTTTGGAAATCAAGGTCCCAGAGTCTGGAGGAAAAGAAGAGAGGCACTTCATCCACGTTGCTTGAAGTCCAGTGTAAAGTTTCCACAGTCAGTGATGGTTTGGGGTGCCATGTCATCTGCTGGTGTTGGTCCATTGTGTTTTCTGAGGTCCAGGGTCAACGCAGCCACATACCAGGATGTTTTAGAGCACTTCATGCTTCCTGCAGCTGACCAACTTTTTGGAGATGCAGATTTCATTTTCCAACAGGACTTGGCACCTGCACACAGTGCCAAAGCTACCAGTACCTGGTTGAAGGACCATGGTATCCCTGTTCTTAATTGGCCAGCAAACTCTCCTGACCTTAACCCCATAGAAAATCTATGGGGTATTGTGAAGAAGAAGATGCAATACACCAGACCCAACAATTCAGAAGAGCTAAAAGCCACTATTAGAGCAACCTGGGCTATCATAACACCTGAGCAGTGCCACAGACTGATCGACTCCATGCCACGCCGCATTGCTGCAGTAATACAGGCCAAAGGAGGCCCAACTAAATACTGAGTGCTGTACATGCTCATACTTTTCATGTTCATACTTTTCAGTTGGCCAACATTTCTATAAATCCTTTGTTTTTATTGGTCTTCAGTAATATTCTAATTTTCTGATATGATGAATTTGAGATTTTCATTTGTTGTCATTTGTAATCATCAAAATTAAACAAAATAAACATCTGAAATATATGAGTTTGTATGTAATGTATGAATATAATATACAAGTTTCACTTTTTAAATGGAATTACTGAAATCAATCTACTTTTTCATGATATTCTAATTTTATGACCAGCACCTGTATTTTGATTTCATCTGACCACATGAAATTCTCCCAATCCTCTTGTGGATCATCCATATGCTCTCTGGCAAACTTCAGGCAGGCCTGAACATGATGTGTACCTATGATAAAAATGACAGACCTCTCATTCTAAGTAGGAGAACTTGTACAATCATTGGCTGACTAAATACTTTTTGGCCCCACTGTATTCTGTGCCTGATATCGCAAATTGTTTGAGCTGGAAAGTGACAAAATGGAAAATAGGAAGAAACCTCTAAGTGTTCAAATAGTTTTTTTATGATGATGCATGAATAGGTGATAGAAAATAACTCCAAATATATTTATCTTAAGCCGCAGGAGATGAGGAATCAGAAATCCCTGCTTCGCCCAGTTCCTAAACTAAAGCTCAGCCTCTCTGTTACCAGACTTGCGCTGACCTAGTTGGCGTATTCTTACACTGCTGTGTGTCAGTGACATCAAGCCTGCCCGTCTCTTAAAGGGGTATTTTGGCGATTTCACAATATTCTCCAGTGTGAGATTCCACTTCCCTTAGATGGTTTCTTTCAATTCACATGCAAGCAGACGGTTATCTTCAGTCGCACCAAATGTTTAAAAAACTAACATTTCTGAAGGCAGGGTGTGTTCAGGGTTCCAAGTGCCAGCTGATTGTGTCATTTGGAGGAAAATCTGCCTGATTTTTAAATACTCTCCTCCCGGGATCCCCCCCTGTAACTCCCATTCACCACAGCTGGTTTGTGTTAGGGATGGATCACATAGTCTTCACCTCCTCCACCCTGATCAGCTCCACTTTTGGGTGTTCCCTCCATTGTTTTGTTTCTTTTGCTCCATAACTTCCAAGAATGACTAGAATCATTGCTGTCTGGAATTCAGCAGAAAGCTCACTAAAACATATCTTTTATTTTTGTGTATAAAGCTTCTATTCTTATTTAGTTTCCTCCAAATTTAACATTCCTTTTTTGTGTGTGTGTTTTGCCATTTTTGCTTCCCTGTGTTGGACAGACTGTTGGGCTCTCCAGTGAAGCAATCCCGCCATGCGTGAATACAAGCTAGTGGTTTTAGGCTCTGGAGGTGTGGGCAAGTCCGCTTTGGTGAGTATGCCCTCCTAGTGCACTTTCTGTCTACCCAGCCTCCAACTACTCTGCAGGGTGCTTCCTAAAGACTTTGTAGATGATTGCTAATAAAACAGCTAGACATTTTGACAAACCTTTAAAGGAACTGAGTGGTAAAGGACAGCGGTGAAAGAGTCTGTATGGTTAAAAAGATAAAGTTCCTTTACTTTCGATGTCTGACTATAATTGCACATATTTGGGTATGTTTGTCTAAAAGAACTGCTTCTATTTCTGCTTAACAAAAATTCCAGGCTTTAATTTATTACCATATTTTTCTAACCACTACAAATACACTTTGAGAACATTCATGTCTGTAAAACAGTTTGCACCCTGCTTCACTAACGTCAGCCAGGTGTCAGTCGGGTTAATCCCATGAACTGCCTGGATTAGGATGTTAACAGGTGAACCTAGTCAACCCAGAATGTAAAGCTGTCAGAGAGCACAGCGTCTTTACACGTACCTGTTGTCACGTGTTGGTAAAGTTAAAACCCCTACTCCTTCTGTAAAAGTATGAATTGTAGGTTTTCAATATTCACGAGCCTCCCTGTTTAGTTGTGATGATTATATGCGAGACCCTGCAGGCTTATTTCATGTTGTTTTGTGTATCATCTTTTACAGACAGTTCAGTTTGTACAGGGAATCTTTGTGGAAAAATATGACCCAACAATAGAAGACTCGTACAGAAAGGTGAGCATCCTCTAAGGGAGCTTGGATCTGGCTGATTGTTTGCAGCTGTTCTACAGATTCATATCACTATGATGTGACTGGAAAATCTCCCCCTCATCGTCTACTTCTCCTTTTGGCCTTTGTTCATGAAAAATTTGATTCATTTTTTTCCCTGCCTTATTGGAATCGACTAACCATACAGTATGCATGTTTAAACAATGAATACACCCAATGACCTCTCATTAAGTTTACACTGTTGCTATGCTTTTTGTCATTGCAGCAAGTGGAGGTAGATGGGCAGCAATGTATGCTTGAAATCCTCGACACAGCCGGCACAGTAAGTAAACTCTGCAATCAACAACCATATTTTAGTACATAATCGATTTATTGATCACTGTTATTGAAGGTAATTATATAGCTTGCATTGTATGCAAAGGCTTTAGAAAGAGTAGCTTCTTGAAAAATAGTCTAGGCGTTTAAAATTTTTTATACCCCTGTTTGTCAGAGTGCTTCAGGCAAACATCCACATTATTATTTTAGCACATTTGCTGAATGAAAGAAAACATTTGGCTTCAAGTAGTCCAGTAAAGATCACATCATCCAACAACATCCGGGGTCTTTGTCCCTTCTCTGTCTGCTTGTGAATTGGAACAGTACTAGGGCTGAGGCTGATGACGTTTGACGAGTACATGAGAACGCATAGGTACACATATTGAAAAAAGGCCTTACAGTCTTCTGTGCTTTTTCTGGGCCAGAGTGCTGGTTCTGGAGCAGATTAAAGTAGTGGGAATCCATCCCGGACCCTGAAGCCGAACAGATAACTGTTTCCTGGTATGGTTATAACTGCTAGCCTCGGTTCTCTGGTCAGTTTCAGTAGCAGCTCTTTGAACAGGCCTCCTCCAGTGTCTTTTAGAAGATAAGCCTTTACTCAGCCATTATGGCAGAAAAAATATTTGATCGGATTCAAGTGATGTGTCAATACTTCCCCGAAACCATCTGTTGTAACTACATGACATTGTTTCACGTGGTCTGTTAATACATGGGAGGGCTAACCGAGAAAAGTTATAGATTTTCTCTGTTTTGCTAGACCAGCAGTGTGAATGTTACTTTAAATCCTGTAGTAATTAACATGATCTGGGAAATTTGTTCTCCTTTAGATCTGCTACATAAGCAGCCCGGGTTTGGTAGATCTGTAGCTTAGTCCAGATTTAGAATCTTTTTTTGTCTGCAAACTACTGTGCACTAGGTTAGGAAAAAAAAAGTGGTCAATGTTGAAAAACGAAATGTCTGCCAAATATATTTGGCAAACGACACCCCACGATTTCTGTTTTTTTTTGTTTTTCCTTATTATAAATATGTAATAAAGAGTTTTCTAGAGGACAAAAAAGTTTTTATAAAGAACAAAAAGTGATATGTTCATGAAACAAGTAGATGGACACAGGATATTCTGACAGAACAAATTTCAGTGACAGAGTAAGTCCTTGATATATTAGGTGGAACAAAAAACAAAAGATGTACTCCAACATAACTACTACCATCAGTTTATAAAGCAAATGTTAGGCCATAATGCCATGCTTAACACATTTGCTGACTTGACCACATACATAACTTTAGACAACTTCAGCAAATGCTGATTCTGCTTCCTGAAAACGCAACAAGAAAATCTACAAAAAACTGCAGGACAGACAGAAATGTCAATAGTTTAGCTTTAAATTTTTGCCAGATTGATCACAGTCATTGTATCATCTGGAGACCCTGAAGGCTTCAAGTGACCCACAATCTCCTGCACAAAAGGCAGGGTCACATGCATATTTTTATCCTGTGCGGGCAGTGCTTTTATTTTATTTTATTTTATTACTTTTATTTATTGTAGTTATTTTATCTTTTTGTGCAGCACTTTGGAAACCTCGTGTTTATTTAAACCGTGCTATATAAATAAAGTGGATTGGATTGGATTGGATTGTAACTTGTAGAAAAAAAATCTAATTGTGCACAACAAATTTAGATTTTTGTGTAGTCAGTTTCTTATATACATTTATGTTTTTACTCTTTCTGTCTGGATTGAATCAATCTTGCATCAGAAAACAAGATACCAGGGTGTTTGAGCCATTGTTTTATGATTAAATGCTTAAATATCAATAATTCACTAAGTCTGTTGTTGATACAATTCTTTTAGTTGAAGAAACATTAGGACTTTTTTGGAGCTCACTGCAGAAATGGCAGAGAAAGATGTACTCTATTATTTGATTGAAAATCCTGAGCAGGTCCCACAAAAGCTTTGTCAGCATGATTTAAATATTTATGCCCATTATTAAAAATTGCTGGATGACAAATCTGATTGGCTTTTATTTCTGTTTCTTTTTTGGACCTATAGGAACAGTTCACAGCAATGAGGGACTTGTACATGAAAAACGGTCAAGGCTTCGCTCTCGTATACTCCATCACAGCACAGTCTACCTTCAATGACCTCCAAGACCTGAGAGAACAGATTCTACGAGTAAAGGACACAGAGGATGTGAGTATATTGCTACTTTGGATGCCTACATAAACTCTCTCCAATTTTTATTCAAATACTAAATATTTATAAGTCTCTAGTGTCCCAGAATCATGAGTTGGTTTCAGATGTGTGCTGTTGTATCATAGCCTTCCTTTCCCTTCATATTGCCACATAAAGAAAGGCTGTCCTATTGCTTGTATGTGTAACCCTGAGAGAGGGGGGGATGTGTCATCTCATTATTTTCCAAATTAGTTGTTTGTCAGCAGCATATTTCCATCTCTCAGTATCTTTTGCAAATTTAGAGGCTGTTGCAATGAGTAAGCCCTCATTCCCCTTTCTGGTGCAGCAGATAAAGCGTCAGCAGGATCTAAGATGCCCTTTTTTGGTGATCTCTGGAGGGAGCAAATGTTACCATAACACTCGTTCTTGCTCTTCCCCCCACCCCGCTCACTCTCTTTCCTTTCAGCAATCTATATAGACCCACTGTAGTCAAGGCTTTCTACCTTTTTGTACATTTTTAGCCCATTGCTCCCCCTTTCCCTGTGGTCTAACTGTGGCTTGGCAAATGGAGTGATTGAACTATTAGAGATGATGTGCAAAGAAAGCCCCATCTCATCAGAATCACACAGGATTGTGAGGCTGTGGTGCTTCATTAGCAGCCTCTGTGGTTATTGAATGAAGGCTAGCCTCAGGCCAACATATGGATTGCAGGATCTGTCTCCTCCTCTTGCAAGAAAGCAGTTCTGCTACATTTTTCTTAAGGAAGGCAGTTTTCTGGTAATATAAACTCCTCCTTACTTGTCGAGTTGTTATGGCCACTCAACTTGAGGGTGTTTTAAGCCTTTACCTACAATAGCTGTGACATCTGTTTATCTTCCTCTACACTGTTTAGGAATGCACCAAAGGAAATGTTCAGCATAGTTTCTTGTAATCACCTTAAAAGCCAGGATTTTTCTTATTTGGAGCAAGCCTCCAATCCGTTGCAGAATGAAGGCAAAGTATGCGGTTGCTGCAGCAGCTGTTCTTATTTTCAGCTCTGACACGCACAATTTACTTCAAAGATGGCAAAATGTATACATGCATTTATTGCCAAGCTTAATTAAGGGATTAGTTTTTTTCAATGTGCCTTAAACGAAGTTGGGTCCCATTCCTTCCTAAAGGAGCTAATTCTCCATAGGTGAATAAAATGAGCAGCTTGTTAAAAGCTGGCTTCCTTTTCCTTCCTTTCACAGCCCTTATGTAACAGCGGTCGCATGACTTCTCCAGACCGTCTTTACTTGTGAGACTAGCAAAAGTCTAACTCAGTGCTTGTGACTCATTGCAGTCCAATATTTAGCATGCTGTTCTCTTTTAGACCGAACGTAGCATGTTGACTGTGGCTTTAAAAAAAATCTTTAATTAGTCTAATGCAGACCTTATTTCTGCTGACCATTAACATTTTTTCCCCTCTTTTTACCTATCTCCATCCTTCCACTCACATTTGAGTTTAGTTTTAACCCAGTTTGGCGGTGTATACCTCCCAAGACCCTTGGGGGAAAAACGTCACTCGGCAGACCAGCGCCAGGGCTTGTTTGGATATCAAACATAAGGCAGCAACCTCTGCAGGGGTTAATCTAAACATCCAGGCTTCCTGTCGCCTGCCTGTCATAGATTGAGAAAGAGGGAGGATCAATTTTTTTTTACTAGTTTTACAGCGTTTCATGTTGCATCTCACTATAAAAAAACAAACAAACCTAAACCTCAAATGAGGATGCTACACTGTTGCTTATAAGTATCCTCAGGATGTGTGTGGACTATTTCTACACCTCAAGAGTTTAGTGACAGAAGGATTTCCCAGGCAGATTAATTATTTTTCTGTTCACCAAACAGAAATGGATTTCCTCAGCTGATGCTTTGTTGGCTCCCCATGTGCTGCATGTAGAACTTTCCACTTGCTGATTGTTTGCTAAGCTGGACCACAAACAGAAATATTCATTGAGCCGTGTAACTGAAGCTGAAGTCTTAACTACTGAGCCATTTTCTGCTGACATAGTGTTTCAGTTGGAGCTTGAATCGAAATGTAATGGTGAAAATTCACTCTGCAGTGTGGGACAGTAAAAAAGCACACCAAACCGTCACCGTCCTTTAATTCCAGAGAGCAGCTGGAGCATGGAAAGCAGCTGAAGTGTTGGAAAACACTCAGGAAGGAAAGCGATGTTATCCCTGCTGGGCGGGGCAGCTTTTGACTTCCTCCGGGTCTGCATTCTCCCTAGATAGCCGGTCAGGAAACATCAGGCAGGATGAGACGTATCCCGACACCCTGACTCTTCCGAATATCTGTCTTTAAAAATTCTCTTCCCCTCAGAACTTTTTTTTTTTTTGAGTTCTCAGAGATGTTTAAATGCGGAAAGAAGGAAGAAGTGCTGTGCGTGCAGATTCCACCTTGAGCTGAATTTCTCAGTTTGCTTTCTTGAAAAACATTCTTTCTTGTTTAAAGAAACTGAACTAAAAACCAGCAATTCAGAAAGTTTACCCCCCCCCCCCCCCCCCCTATATCTACGTAAAGTTCAAGTCTGGATAGTTTATATCATTCGGTTGCTATGTTCCAGCATGTTAGCCAAATGATATAGAACCCTTTTCTGTAAATCCTGCTCAGCTTTTGCGTTCCTTATAGGAGAAGTTCGGTTTTTTACACTTTAAGCCCATTTTCTGTAGTGTCCAGGATGAAATCGAATGATCTACACCAAAATTTTGACAATTGCTCCTGTCTCTGCTTTTTGGCTCATTTAGAATCACCCCCTGGCTGCTTTAGAATGGCTTGCATAGAGCATGTCCGATAATGTCCTTAAAACAACCTTAAACGTTCTTTTTTTAAAATATGCTACTCACCGGGTCGTCAGCGCTGTTCAATGACGTTCCAAAAAAAGTTTTGTGAAGAAAAAACGTTCCTGTAGTGTTTTATTTAGCATTTTGTAAATCCCATTGAGTTCTGTTGGAATAGTCAATATTCCGCTGCCACCGGAAACGGAAATGGGGCCTGTTTACACAGTTGTAGTCTTTTCGCTTCACTCTGTGTACTCCGACGTCGAGAATCAAGAATCCACCTTTCGTATTCCATTCTCAGAGTTTTTTAAAGTGTTTAACAGAGACGTTAGCACCTCGACGTCGGAGTACACAGAGTGAAGCGAAAAGACTACAACTGTGTAAACAGGCCCCATTTCCGTTTCCGGTGGCAGGGGAATATTGACTCTTCCTACAGAACTCAATGGGATTTACAAAATGCTAAATAAAACACTACAGGAACGTTTTTTCTTTACGAAACTTTTTTTGGAACGTCATTGAACAGTGCTGACGACCCGGTGAGTAGCATATTTTAAAAAAAGAACGTTTAAGGTTGTTTTAAGGACATTATCGGACATGCTCTATGCAAGCCATTCTAAAGCAGCCAGGGGTGGATTCTAAATGAGCCAAAAAGCAGAGACCGGAGCAATTGTCAAACTTTTGGTGTCGATCATTCGATTTCATCCTGGACACTACAGAAAATGGGCTTAAAGTGTAAAAAACCGAACTTCTCCTTTAAATGTCACTATATATGTAGTTTCCTCCCTCAGTAAACTAAACACACATTGTAAAACAAGCTAAACCCTGCAGGTTATTGGCTTCACATGTTGCAAATTGTTGTCTTATATTGTCTTTGGTTTCTGTTTTTTAGACTAGAACCTACTCTATTGATCCGAGACACTGGAGGGCGACTAAAAGAGTCCGGTCTAATTAAGAAAACACCAAGACATTTATGAACCACTTCTTGCATTTTGCTTGAATCTTTCTGAGAACAGATGGTATAATGTAATAGTTAAACTAGGATGAGAATATTTGTTGTTTCTGTTGCTTTTTTTAATACCCACACTTTAGATCAAAAGTTTTATTTAAACTGGGCATGAATACAAGGATATAAGGATGTCCCATCTGCAAAGAAATCAGGAATTAACGCTTTGGTAAAGTTTAATCAACATATATGAAGTTGGTCTTCTATAAACATGATAAAGTTTGGTGATGATGTAAAGTTAATGTTCTGGAAGTATTTCACATTCTTTCTGATTTGGACCAGATTTCTGTGTTGAATTTTTTTTTGTTTATTCTCCCCCCCCCACCCCAGTGTCATTTTATATTCAGTGTCATAATAATGACACTGAATATAAAATAAAATGGTTAAATGTCTAAAATAATGAACATTTATAATGGACAGTAAAAGGAGGTGGCGATAGATGTATGATCTCAAGGCATGGCTGCTGAACGCACCAATAAGCCGGCGAATGCATGCACTTATCAGCCCGTACTGTTACCAGAAAAAGACACTAAAATATCAGCTGGAAGATGTCAGTCTATTTCTATCGTGAGTGTATTTATCATTTTCATTTTGCAGTACAGTTGTCCTTGCAGAAAAAGAACCTTGGGCCATATTTTGAGATTTGAAGGTTGTCATTAAAAATGCATATGATGTCAATAAATCTCAAACTATGCTACTGAAGGACAGGCTTTGACAGAAAGCTGTGCAGACATAATAAGCTGTTAAGAATAAACTAAATCTTCCAAGTTCCAATCGATTGATGTATAACATTATTCAAGGCCTATATTCATCTCTCTCCTAGGTGCCAATGATACTGGTAGGCAATAAGTGTGACTTGGAAGATGAACGTGTGGTGGGGAAGGAGCAGGGCCAGAATCTGGCCAGACAGTGGAACAACTGTGCCTTTTTAGAGTCCTCAGCTAAGTCAAAGATCAACGTCCTTGATGTGAGTACACAAAAACAAAGGTCATGGTGACGCACATTTTCCAAAACATGCTGCAGGTGTTGCTAAGAGAATAATCAAAAAAAGGAAATGAATCTCTATGGTTGTGATTTTTGTTTTTCGTAAAATGAAAAATTTGAAATTTAATTTCAGGTTTAATTTCAAACTAAGCTCTATGTTGATTCTTCTATGTAAATACATACTTACTGTAGAATTCGACCCACACAGTCTCAATGAAACTTTATTTCATTTGTGTGAGCTTTAGATTAGCCTTTACTAAAGAGCTCTGTAATCGCATGTTCTGTTATATTTACAAAAAAACATTTTCCGTCTCTTGCAACTAGAAACTATTCCAGGTCATTGAATTGAAATATCATCAGAAGTTTTCTTTTGAGATTCCTTTCAAAAAGTGAAACTGTAATCTGCATTTCCTACAAACTGAGTGGTAACTTCAATCATGTTATGGCTTATGAAGTCAGACTGCTGAATTGGCACTGCTGTTGATGTTGGGACATGATTAAAGATGCTTTGATCTTATTTTCAAAGCTTTTATGTAATCATGGGAAAATAATGATCATGCTACCCTTGTTTTCTTTCTTTTTTTAATTCTAAAGGTCTATTACCTGTAGAATACAACAAACTTGAGGAAAAAAAAGTGGTGGGAAAATATTTTTGCATAACGGTAATTTTTGATAGTTTTGATTGAATAAAAAATAAAATCTATTTATAAAAGACAAACTCCTGTTTAGTGAAACAAAGATGTCTCTTGCAATTTGATGGTTTAATTGCAGAGCTTCAGTGTCCCATTCCATTTGATCACCACGAGTAACTATTAAATAACCATGTAGAGGTCAAAGGTTTAAGTTTTTTCTTTCAAAATAAATAAATAAAAAAACTTAAGTAAATGACTAGTAATCCAAATTTTAAGATATGATTTGAATACAGCAAATTTTTTCTAGAATACTTGAAAATAAGAAATAAATCTGAATCTGTGCTTCTACTTGTAACAAAGTGTTAATAACTAATCCAGGTTCAGTTGTCACTCCTGAAAGTTGCAGCAGTCTTCTAGGGTTGCTGTGTCTGAGGAGATGATGATAGTTTTTTTCAATTTTGTCTTCTTTGTTCTAGATCTTCTATGACCTGGTCAGACAGATAAATAGGAAAACACCAGTGGAAAAGAAGAAGGCAAAAAAGAAATCCAACTGTGTCCTGCTTTAAAGACCCTCCTCCCCCCCGCCCCTGCAGCAGCTCTGAGCCAGGTTAGTGTTCATGATGTCATGATATACTTTAGTGGAGAAAAGTTCACATATTTCATTTTGTCATTTTCTTATGATTCATAGTAATTCTAGTTCAATGGTTAAGATCGTCTTCTTCAATCATGTTATAAAGTTATTTTTTTTTTAATCAGTGCTAGAAAATCAAACATCCTTCTTCCTATGAGGTTTAGTTGCTGTTACTAACTCATTTATTTGAGTTGCACAAATTAATTGGGTAAACTTGGCCCCTCCCCCTTAGTAACCAAAGGACAGAAAGTGGTATCGCCTCCTGTTGGTAGCTGAGGGTACTAAAATCGGTATGAGTCTTATATCTACATGCAATTATTTTAAGGTTAAAAAGTAGGTTAATAGTAGTTTTCCTCTAAAGAAGAAGATTTTTCTCTGACACCAACAGGCTAATCCTCAATAAGGACTTTCCTGTTGTGTAAACATCTGCTTGAGCTACACTGTAATATTTATTTTGAATCACTTTACTGTTCAACCATTGAGTCACACTCGGCGTGTTTTAAAACTGAAACCTCACCATTCTTTAGCAGCTGGTCATGTTAAAGGAAATCCTAATCAGTCACCACGTAATTTCCCAGAAAATATGAGCCGCTTTGCGTGGTGAGTTTTCGTTCTATTTTCTTTTTCAGAAATTATTTTTTCAGTCTGGCCGGATGTGGGTAAATGTGGAAGTCTCCAAATTAGTCTGTGTGAATTTATATGTCTGCTTACTTTTGTTTGTAGCTTTTTTAGTTTATGTAATGAAGTTTCATTTCCGCCTCCTAAAAAAAAAAAAAGCAGAACTTCTGTATGTCTCAGGGCTTCTGTGTCTGTAAATCACCCAAGACAGGATTATTATTGTTATACTTGCATAAAATCATTAACAACTAGGCAGAAAGTAATGGCTTCACTATTATTGAAGTAATGCTTTTTGGAAATTGCAATTTAGGGCTGCGTCAATCCTTTAGGTTTTTTTATTTTTATTAATTAATCAGTTATTTTTTCAATTAATCTTAATAAATAACATGTTTTTAATAATATTTGAAATAAGGGAAAATGCAAATGGCAAATCATGTAACAAATGCAGAATCCTTCACGTTTAATTATATAATTATATCGTTTTTAGTTTATTTCTGTGAGGTTTTGTCTCAATTATTGCTGTATGTGGGACCTCTTTAAGGAAATTGTATGTATAAGTCTGTATTCCATTACATTAGGTCAGGATTTGAGTACAAAATTAGTTGACAAATATTTTGATTAATCAATTAATCTGATTTATCATTTCATCCCTACTACAGTTAGAAAAGCCAATAGGCTTGAATGATAAAGCTGCAGAGTGCCAACTTAATCAGCCAAACATTGGCTAGTCAAACTGTTTCTTTCTATAAGTAGTAAATTGTCAAAAAAGAATATTTAGTCTAATAAGAGCTTTTATGCAAAAACTACTTTCAATTATTGGGTTATTATTGTTGGTTCCTTGATTTGGTGTAGTTTTTCACATCTATGTACATCTGTTAAAAAAATCTTAGCAAGCTAGTGTTTTATCTATGGCGGTCCTAATTCAAATGTTTGTAGAGAATTTCTTTCTTTTTTTTTGATATCCTTTGCTGAAATAAATATTTTGTAAATTGGAAGGTGCTAGAGCATTATGTAGTTAAAACTGCATATCTGTTTGCTCCTATAACAGAAGACAGAAACACAATAGTGGAATAATTAGGCAAATCTCTACTGTAAGCCACATCATTTTCTTTTTACTGTGTGGGATTATTTACTCAATTCTTATGCTGAGCCTCCTGCTTTCTCACTAACAATTTAGCTTCACCTTGCTTAACTGTTTATCCTGAAAGGTGTAGAAAAGGTCTGTAACTCGCATAGTAAACTGATCCTGCTTCAGTGCATTTTACCTGTTAGAAAGATGGTATTTCATAAAGTCACGTAAAAGGACAGCTGTAAAGACATCATAGGAAAAGTCAACATGGTCCCTGTTTTGATTTCAGGGTAAGCTGGAACATGAGGTTGTAAAAATATTCCAGTATAAGCTGCGGCTATCTGTTTAGTTACAGCTTAGTGGCTCTTTGTTTAGCATTTCAAATTTTATTTTGAACTGCCAAGAATGCAAAACTTTTCCACTGTTCTGTGCTTGAACCCCCTTAGTGGGTTTTACAGTCTGTTTGCTCAGTTAGCTCAGTGTTGTAGGAGGAAAACCTCAATGTTGGAAGACTAACAAAGCTCAGCCAACTGTTTTCACATCTGCTTTTTCAAGCTACCTTTAATTTGCAGAGTATGGAGAGAAACCGTTAACACCACTGATAAAACTGGCTTTGTTAAACAGCAATCATAGTTGTGGTCCCAGACATCAGGAAGACTGCACCACCCACAGCGTTCCTCATCTAAATCCATCTGTTTTGGTCAGTTGTTTGAGAGTGGGGCCTCTGTCAGCTTCCCTCCAGGCGATGTCTGCACCCCCACCCAGCTTGGCTCACATACTGGCCAGCCCAGTGAACCGGCACTAATAGGATTTTGGGTTCACTGTTCCACTCTTCACATCACTGTGCGATCGATGGAGGGGTCACACTGCAAACTGGAGAAAAGTGTTCATGAAAGAGTTAATGAAACTTTTCACTTTTGTTGTCCAGCTGACCTGATTCGTGAGAGCCGGTCCTCCAAATGAGCTGACAGAGTATCGGTTTATTGAGGTTTATTGATTAAGGTTCTCCCAAGGTACCATTTGGACTTTTTCTTACAATTATGTGTCTTACAAACCTGGACAGACTCGATAGTTTAGGATCATCAGAGGGTTCCAACTGTGATTACTACATTTGTCTTCTCATGGACTTGAGATTAGAATCATGAATTTTATTTATTTTTAAAATCAGAAAATAAGAGTTATTTTGATCTAAAAACCATCTAAATCCTTGATCAACACCTCTATCCCAGTTAGGACCAACTAACAATTTTTGTTGAATGAACAGATTGCTCCTATATTAATCTTAAAAACAGAACGGAGTTGGTCTCAGAGTGACTTGATGTCAATTGAAGTACCTTAGCTGATTAAAATTAGGTGTTTTGTTTCTTTTCTTTTTAATAGACAACAGCAGATGACTAAACTACTGTAAGGATGCATTTATCACACCTTCACTTGGAGCGGTTTGCTTTCACACAGAAATTTTTAGACCAGGCCAAACAGTGTGATGCACCTAGACCAAAGAGCTTCTGGTGCAGTATTACGTCAGTATTGCAGTAAACTCAAGGAAAAAGCTTGAAGAGGCTTTTTATTACTACTTTTTTGTTAAAGTGTAGATGTGCACCTGCACCCCTTTATTACTCAACTTTGTCCCACAAGAGATTTTCAAGTCCGTCGTCTTCAGATCCCAGTCCTTTGTTTGTCCTTTCTTTCGACTACTTTGATGTGCTGGGCCTATGTCACATCCTCTTATCCTGTTTTTATTATAATGGAAAGTCAGGTATTCTCATTTCAAGTGAAAAGCTCCAGCGTTGGGATAAACTATGCCACGGTTCGGTTCCAAGGTCTGGGTAAAGTTCACATCAGGATGATCTGCTTCAGGAACCGGACTCTGGCATGGTTAAGTGTTCCAAAGCTTTGGTGTGAAAGCAATGTCAGAATTTATGAGCTTATTTTAATTAGTAAACTACTGAATGCTTTTTTTTTTATGTATTTATTTTGAATAAACAAGATAACAAAGCAACATTTAAAGCTATTGAAGGGTGGACGTAATCACTTTCACTACAATCATTTATTTTTTAAAAGCCTTTTTTGTTTTTGCACATGTACTGTAGACCAAATAAATAAATCGACTATCTTATCATAAACATTCCCTTCAAGGTCATGGAGGTTATAATATCCTGACACTGCGTCAAAAAGACTGCTTCCTATAATCTGCTATTAGCCTTATAAACAAGGCTGGATCCTCCACCAAGACTTAACTATTGGAGTTAGAAAAACAACATCTCAATGGGTGTAAATGTAGAATATTTAATTTTATTCTGTTGTTTAATCGCTTGTTGCTATGAAGCATTTTCAAATTTTTATATTATAGTTTTAAAGTTCATTATTATATTTCACCTGTGCCTTTGGAATCCGGTCTTAAGCTGTTATAATATACACATATTTTTAATTGCAGCCCAAACGCAGCACACTCTAACCCTGCAGGGCAGAACATGAACTGAATAGTTAGTTTAGTCTGGCAGTAAAACCATTGTCTACAGGGGAATAACATTTAGGCCCTTGTGTTCTTTATTCTTGGTGTTTCTATGAATATCAGCAGCTTACACCTTTTTTTTTCACCCTAAACTGCTGGTCAGAATCTATGAACAAACTCTTCTTGCTTCCTCAAGCATTATAAGGGCTCTTTATGTTTCTTCACGTGTCATAGATTTAGAAAATCTTTTTTTTAGAAAAGGTTTGGAGTTAATATTCAAGGGTTTGGAGAACAAAAAAAAATATGTTTTTATCCTGTATGAAAATGTACATAATTAGCAGGTCGCAGCTAACAGCCACCAGAGGGCGCCAACACTCTAGACTTCTTGTCACTAATGAACTATGCTGTCTTGCAGAAATGCTGTAATGAAGAACTGTTGCCCTGATTGGAACGTGCCAGCATTCCAACAGCCCCCCCAGTCCCACTCCCTCCATCAGCCATAAACGGTGAATCAGCTGATCGAACTGCTCTTATCAAAGCCGAGGAAGACCTACAAGAGAGTAAAGACAGAGGGGAAGAGAAGAAAGAAGACCTTGTCTTTCGACTGTGAGGACGTCCCTGTGTCTCAGTATCAGCATGAACCCTGAACGGACAGCCTCCAACTCTGCATCAATAAATGGCGCCACAAACTGATGATGATGTTAAAACACAGCAGAACCTCTGAAATAAAAAAAAAAAAAAGCAAAGTCTCATGATCCCCTTATTTTCATTTCTGAAAAGGACAGTGGTTAAGAAGAAAGGCTAAGTTAGTACTTGGATTCAGTATTTTTCATCTTATTTTCTATATCAATATTGTATTTGAAAGACATGGAAGTTGACATCTTTAGTTGTATAATTATAAATATTCTTCAGAAACAAGCATGAAAAAAAATCCATCAGTTACTACGTGTAGATGTTCAAGTGAAATCAGTGGAAAAGTGAGAATTTTTTTATAGCCATACACCTTTTTTCCATGCCTGTCATGTTTGTGATAATAGATCAAGTTCCATAATATGTATTATTTTTTAATATTATATATTTTTTCTTTGTTCGCCCTCTTGTTCATGGACTTCTCTTCTGCAAATATCTCTCTCTGATGTGACTTAATTTTATACTCGGTCACTGGGATTTCATAGCTCCCATAATATATTCTAATGCCTTTCTTTTTTTTTTTTTCATAATGATGCGCCAGAAAAATGGGTCTTTTATAGAAGAAATATGGGGAAAAATAAGAATTGATTTCTATGTCTCTTGAAGCTGAAATATATTATACTAAACCACCTCTAATGCTTCCTGTGTTTTTCTGTTGACGATGTTCCAGCTTTTATGGATTATTAAAATACAATTTAGTACATTTTCATTATATTGGTCAATGTATTTTTGTGAATTAAACTTTTATTCCAATAACACTTTGAATTTATTCAAGAGAATTGAGATGCTGGTTGGCAATTTTACTTGGAAATGCCATAAAATGGTGACTGAAGTAAACCACTGCATTGATTTAGACAGGACAAACCACATGGAGTACATTAGTGGATTACACTAATCAGAGTGACTGTTAGGTGGCAGTATAACATAAATGTGCATCTATATTTAAAAAAAAAAATGGATGACAAGTTTGTCTGCATCCTATAAGCCAGAGGTTCAAGCTCCAGACTGTTGCAGCTTTTCGTCTGCAACCATAGCACTGGGTCTCAACCATTCTTTAACACATCTTAAAAAAATGGCTGAATTATCTCGTTTCATCTCTTCAAAGGCCTGCTAACTAGCCATTTATTTGAAGAGCTGGACTACCCTACCATAAACTGCATGCCATGAAACTCTAAACACTTGTTCAAACAGAAAATTACACCTTAACCCAATAATTTGGCGTTTTCTGCATTTACCTTAAACATGACTTTCTGATTTTACACATTGGATGGAGTGTGAGATTCAAGTCTTGCCACAGGCACTTAATTGGGTTCTGGACATCATAACACAAGGATGCTTTGATATAAACTATATAATTATAGCCTAAACTGTGTATTTTCACTCTTTGTCTTAATAGAAGATGGATGTTTTTTTCCCCAGCTTCTGTCGTTTCCGTCAGATGTGCCCTCTGTTTGACTCCTTGCTGCTTCCTAAACCCCACAGCATGACGCAGCCACCACCTGCTTTACGGTTTGACTGTTATGTACGTTTAGATTTCAGCCTCTAATTTTTTTAACAAAATTTTTTTTTCAGGTTTCCTCTGACCAGAGTGATAAATATCTGAAGCTCTCAGAGTGTCTGTCTTGGTGGAGTTCTTAGTATACATATTTTCAGGACTCTCTTTACCTTTATGTTCAAGTGTTTTGTATGATGTATAAAACCTAGGTGAATGCACAGCATTTTATTTAGAGCTATCAGGCTGAATAAAAACAGGAGTCTTGCTAGAGAAGGTTGATCATGAGCCAGTTTTGTAAGAGAGTTTTCTCAGATTTTAGTCGCTCTATATTGTTTGCATTAAGTGAAATTTCTACTTTGAAAATAATTTTCCTACATAGTAAAAGATTTTATTTTAAAAGTAGTTCATGCAGAATTCTAGTGTGCAGTGAACACTTTTATTTTCACATCTGAAAACATGTTAGCAATGCCTTTTTTAATGTTCAGTCTATTAAACATTCTGTTATAAATCTGTCACCAACCAATAACTGGATCACTTATTTGAGAATAATTTTTCTCAATCCGAATTAAGAATTGATATGAAATATAGTGCGTAAATCATTACATCCTTTTTATTTGTAATGGAAACAACTTCTGGCTTGAATCCTTGCTTGGCTTCTGCCACATAAATATATTATAAACAAGAAAGCCAGAAATAAAGCCGCCTGCAGGCCAGGAGCACAGGCACTTAGAAACAGGAAGAAAGTGCTGCATCATTTAAGCTCCTTATTTCTTTAAGGGGGGGTGAAATCAAAGGAGGCTTAAAGTCCGCAGGAGAGGATGGTGAGGAAAAGATTAGAGAGCGTGACTCGCATATTTTTCTTGTTTTTGACTCTTATCATTTACACTGCAGCCTTGATCAGTCCTGTAATCCCTTTAGTGGGTGAGAGACAGAGTATTATTAAAAAAAAGACCTCTGCTTTCATTTACCTCCTGGTGAGAAAAAGAAATCCCTGCTGTCATCCTTCTGAGGTTTGTTCAGCTTCTCCAGGTCCCCTTGGAAACGTAGGATGGCTGTTTGTACCTGCTGGATTTGAATCAAAGCATTTTCTTTGGGATTTGTGAAGTGTGAACATTCTGTCATTGTACAGTAACATATCCAGCCACACTTTCTTGTACTCCTTAAGGTTCGCTCCAAGTTTTTTTTTTCATTGCTTTTCTGTGTCCTCTGAACTTTTGTTCAATATTGAGTTAATTTGTTATCAACCAATCTAAACAAAAACCTAAACGGTAGCCAGAAGACCTTCCTTAATCATTCCTTTCTTAATGGACACTTTACTTTTATTGTGCTATTGGGATCATATTTCATATAAAGTTCACAAAAAACATTTACCTTTTTGGTTATTAGAAAAATGTATCAACAAAAGCTATTTCATTTAGCCTCAGCTGTGTTGTTTTGTTGACCAACTTGTAGCGGCACCTTGAAAATATGTTACTTGAATTTTCAAAAGGGCTTTAGCTACATTTCTACTAAGTAAAACAGCCTTTTTTATTTTTTTTCCCCCAGCCACAAAAAGCATGTACAGTATGCTTTTATTTTAATCCCTCTTTAGGTTGTTGTCTTTAATTATACTTCAGAGCGACACATGAACATCAGAAGTGAAGGCCACCTTTGCTACTGTGGATCTCTGGAGGAACTGCAGAGATCCACAGCTCAGGTGGAAGAATCAAATGAGTGCATTATCTTTTACATATATAGAGGTGATAGTGGTAAGAACAAACCTGTTGCTATAAGAAGGCCATAACAGCTTCAAGCACAAGCCATGTTGCAGACACAGTAAACATTAGCAGGAAAGGTTTTCTGGTTAGACGAGGCAGTGAAAAGAAGCTATGTGAAAAGAACGATAGCTCTGCACCTCTCCCTGAAAATGCCAACAAAACAGAGGCTGTAGGGAAGCTTTACCCATAAGAGCTGTAGGTGGAGTTAAATAAAGGAAGATAACCTGCACAAGACATTAAGCTGAAGAGATAATTAGTGGCTATTAACATAAAACTAGAGCTACAAAGTATGCTATGGTGGTAGTAAGGCCTAGTCAAAGTCCAGATCTAAACCCAAATGAGAATCTTTTTTGTCCAGTCGTAAAATCTGATGTTCACGGATGCTCTTATACACATTTCACTGAGCCGAAATTAATTTCCAAAGAAGAATAAATGAGCATTTCAGACTCTTGTAGAGAAATACCTCAAATCAGCTGCAGCTGTAACTACAGCAAAAGGTAGGTCAAAGGATGCTTGTTACTGTTGTGTCATTATCGTACTTCTTTAGTTTTTGGTATTACTTTGTGTTGACCTATCACACGAAATGTCAGTCCATTTGATTGAACTTTGTGGTTTTCCTGTAAAAAAAAGAGCACCTCACACGTTTCAGCTTCAGAAATAGAAAAATAGGTAAACAAGTAAATTCTCCCGAGCTCATTGGTTTTAGACAGCGACAGTAAGTACTGCAAACACCAACCGGCTCTCACTGATGATTTGTGAATCCATTATGAGAGAGATAATATTTCTTCCACATCGTCATCTTATCATATTATCATATTATAAAAGCCATAACTCTTGAACACACACACACACATACCCTTTATATTTGCCTTTGCCAGATCAATTAACAGATTGGTACTGAGGTTAGAAATGATTGACTGGGATAAGGGCCGTGTCTAATGGTTTTTCTGCAGAGGGAGTGAACATGATCTCCATTGTCAGGGGAATATCGACAGTTTAGAGTGCAAGGTTACAGCTGACCCTATGAGGGTTCTTCCTTTGCCATTTCCTGTCTGTACTTCTATTTATTTTTATCAAGTGTTATAATTCTTCATTGACATTTCATTACTTTACATGTATAAAACAGACACTTCAAGACTCAGATTCATGAATATACAATATAAAAGCCACGAGATTGTGGTTGCATTGTTTAATTACTGTTATGGGTGTCAGTGGACCTTTGTATTGTTCCTTCATTAACTGCATATTAAGTTTCTTATTAGGTTTTTAATTGTATTTGCAGAGCAGTAAGAGGCTGCTTTCAAACCAAATCCACCTGGATTTCTGCAGGAAGCCAAACTCTATATTTGCACACACAGACACACTTTTTCTATTTATATGTTCTTTGTGTTTGGCCACAAGTGTTCCTCTAAGTTTAGCCCAGAGTCCATCATTTAAGGTGGGTTAAAGACACCCTGTAGTGTTCTCACTGTTTTCATGGAGCTCTGTTTATGCAGGCGTGTCTCTGTTTGTCGGGCTGTTCGTTAAATTGCTGCTCTGTGACAGTACAAAGGAATAAAAAGGAGCAAGTTATGAAGAATTTACACAATTCCTCGGAAAAGACTATCAAAAATGTAAAAAAGAAATGTATAGATTTTAATTAAATGGAACAGATTTTAGAGGAAGTTTCTACAGATTCACAAATTAGTCATAATGGATTCATAGCTCACATTTGAAGGTAATGCCTTCTTTTTTTCTATAATTGCAACATCTATGAGTAAAAATGGAAAACATGTTTAGGTAACAAACACACTAACAAC